TGATCTCTGAGGTCCCTTCCATTCTATGATTTCTGGGGGTTTCTCGGTGCGCGTTCTCACCACAAATCCAAAGTCCCCACATGGACTTTGAAGCTGCGGTCGTTTGTCTCTCTTTGATGTTTTATGTATCATCTCTGCCTACGAGATAACGGGGTACTCGGTTAATTGTATTCCTTAATTATGGGATTCCTTGTGAAATTGCACGTGGCCCGTTAGGAGCTGAGGTAGGTGGTGATGAAAGCGGCGCTGCTCTTCCAGTGGGACCACGGTGCGGAGCTCGGGGCTGGGTGGCTGATGAAAAACCTTGAGGGTTCGGGGCGTGACGCAGGGTTTGAAATAATTCCCAGGTGTGTGGGTCTCTCTTCACCTGCCTTTGTAAACTGGCTGTTCTAATACACCAGCAGTTGAACCGCGGTAATAAATTACCTCTCCCCCCCTACCCTGCCCCTGCTTTTTTTTTTTTTTTTTCAACTTGCTTTTGGATTTTTAGTGAGTTGCCATGGTAACTTTCCACCTTCCCTTTTCTGGTGAGCCTCCAAAGTTGCTCATGGGCAAAGCCTCGGGGAGACAAGTGTGAGCTGAGCAGGGCTTTGCTCTCCTTCTCATGCGAAGTTGGATGCGATGCCCGATGGGACCCCTCAGACCGCGACCAAAGCGTTGGGATGCTGATGGGTGTGGGCTGCAAGAGCATGGGATCTTCTTGTTTAAGTCTTTTCCTCCACCAGGACATTGATTTGCAGCCTGAGCTTGTTGCCTCCATCAATTCTGGCAGAGTTATCGGCTTATTGCCTCTACCGGGGGGTGGATGATCTCCCGTTGGATGCCCGGCTTGGAAACATCGATGTTCAGCCAAGCCGCAGCATCCCGTCCCAGAGGGGATCCCATCACACCTAGATCTGACATTTGCTCCCACCTCGAATCCTGCGTCCAGTTCTGGTGCCCCCACCATAAGAGGGATGTGGATCTGTTGGAGCGTGTTCAGAGGAGGCCACAAGGATGATCCAGGGGCTGGAGCAGCTCTGCTACGAGGACAGGCTGCGGGAGCTGGGGTTGTTCAGTCTCGCAAAGAGAAGACTTCGGGGGACCTAAGAGCTGCCTTCCAGTACCTGAAGGGAACCTACAGGAAGGCTGGGGAGGGACTTTTGACAAGAGTGTCCAGCGATAGGACAAGGGGAAATGGGTTTTAGTTGAAGGAGAACAGATTTAGACTGGATCTTAAGAAGAAATTCTTCAGTCTGAGGGCGCGAAGACTTTGGAATAAATTGCCCAGAGATGTTGTGGCTGCCCCCTCCCTGGAGGTGTTCAAGGCCAGGTTGGATGGAGCCTTGAGAGGCGTCCCTGCCCGTGACAGGGAGCTTGGACTAGATGAGCTCTAAGGTCCCTTCCAGCCTGGGCCATTCCATGATTCTATGATTTAACTCGTTTCTCTGTGCAGAATTTGGCTTTTCAAATCACATCTGTGTGGGTTTGTTTTTTTTACCTTCTTCTTCTCTCAATCCATCATCCTTCTCTCCTACTACACTTTCAATGAGGGAGCAAACCGCTTGCCCTGGTAGGACCAAGATCTTTGGAAGAGATTTGCAGCTCCTTGGGGACCTCGTAATGAAAAGAGCTGATTTCTGAGTGTTCCAAAGCAGCTTTGGGTTTCCAGCTCTGCCTTGTCGCAGTTAAGCACCGACACTTTGGCTAATCCTTCCCTTTCTCTTTTCAGTTCTTCTGGGTCCTTCTGGTGATCTTCCTCACGGAGCTGCTGCTGATTTTCATCGAAATCATCTTTGAAAGCAAGGTGGGTGCAAGCGGGGAGGCCCTTTAGGACGCTGCACGACGAAAAACCGCAGCCCCCCCTGTGTCGTCAGGGAGGAAAATCCTCATTTATCTGTCAGCGTCCGCCGTGAAAATGGGAGGTTTTCATTGCTTTCCTGCCCTTCTGACCTGCCCATCGTGCTCCAGAGCTGGGATGGATCTCCAGCACCACCCAGAGCTGCAGTTCCCTGTGCAGACTCTCAACTAAAAACCTATGTTTTCTTTTTTTTTTTCTTGAGGGCTCATTAAGCTCCTCGCCTCAATTATGTTAACTGCTGGCTTGCATTTGCAAGGACAGGTTTGAGTTATAGCTGAGGCGGCGAGATGGTAAATCCTTCCAACGGATGTCCTTCCTGGCCGCCCGCCTTCTGCTGCGGAAACCCTGCCATTTTCAATTTAATCTTCCCCTTGCAGTCGATCAAACGATTAAATAGCTAATCTCAATCTCTGCGGGCTCGGTGAACGCGCAAGGCGGGGGAACAACAGCCAGAATGCCCACTTACAGGCTCGAAAAATCGATTCCCCGTTGCACAAACAGCTTGAGGGTGCTTCCAAACCCGTCAAGGCTGGCGTCGAGTGCTTGGTGAGCCCCAAAGACAGGTTAGGATGGAGAAAAATGTGGTTAGTCAGCCCCCGAACCAGCTTAGGGTTGGGAGTTAAGCAATTGGTGAGCCCCTAAACCAGGTTAGGGTTGGGAGATATGTGGTTGGTGAGCCCCAAAGGCAAGATTAGGATCAAGAAAAATGTGACTAATGATCCCCCAAACCAGGTTAGGGTTGGGAGAGATGTGCTTGGTGAGCCCCCAGACCAGATGGAGATTGGGAGATACGTGGATGGTGAGTGCCAAAACCAGATTTAGGTTGGGAGATACGTGCTTGGTGAGCCCCAAAGACAGGTTAGAATCAAGAAAAATGTGGCTAATGAGCCCCCAAACCAGGTTAGGGTTGGGAGAACTGTGGTCCGTGAACCCTGAAACCAGCTTGGGGTTGGGAATTACGTGCTTGGTGACCCCCAAAGACAGGTTAGAATCAAGGAAAATGTGGCTAATGAGCCCCTAAACCAGGTTTGGGTTGGGAGAGCTGTGCTTGGTGAGCCCCAAAGTTGAAGGGCGGCAATGGGGAGGACGTTGCCTTTTGGATGCTGCAGCCAAGTCCATCCAGCAGCTTGCCCGGGCTCTCCGAAACCCTCTGACCCCTGCAAAACACGCTGCCCCAACGGAGAGACGCGCTTCTCTGAGGAAAATCAGGTTGGGTCGTTCCTGCTTATAGAAAATCGACATGTGCTGCCCCATAGAGGCTGCGTTTTTGTGGAATTCAGCACAAAGTCCTCTGCTTTGAGCCTCGGTGGTGATGCTCAGCCCCATCCTGCTCTGCAGGGATGCCGAGACCATCACGAGAGAAGGTTGTATTAAACTTGTGAATTGAGCAGAAAGCATTAGCGCCTTAATTTAAATTTAACGGGCAATATCAAAACCTAATTAAAAATCAAACAACGAGAGAGAGAGAGAGAGAGAGAGAGGAAAGAGAGATCTGACAAGCGATGAATCCACTTGACCAAAAATTGTTCGGAGGCACAAATCTGCATTTGGAACAATGGTTGTTTATGAAACTCGTTAAAAACATATTTAATTGGATTTTTGTATTGAATCAGCAGGGCCTCGAAGCATAGAAATGGGCTCTGTTGATATGCAAATGGAGATGATGGGAGGTAATGGGTTTGGAGTCCTTGCAGGGAAGGGAATTGGAGAGGTCTCACAACCAGAACTTGATGATTTAACCCCACGACGTTTATCTGCCACCTTAAAATCGAGATTTAATTACAGAGGCTGCCTCCAGGCTGGCATCTTCTCGATATCACTGGGGGAAAACAAGCAGAAAACGATGAAACCTGGGTGTTGCCTGTTGTGTTGGGTGGCCAAACCAGGAATTCAGGTTTTAAGAAACTTGCACGCGAGCAAATTCCTCAAGGTTTGTTGCGATCCCCGTGCCTGATCCCTTGCTGTCGGCAGGCTTTGTTTCCCACTCTGACGTGCCTTCACGTCTCTCTCTTTTTTTTTCCTCTATGTTCTTCTCCTCTTTCCCAGTTTGCCCAACCTCTAATTTTCATGTCAGAGTGAATTATGAAAAACAACGCTTTCTTTCTCCCTCTTCTTTTCCCCTGCTTCTAACTCAGACACAAAAAAAAACCACCAAAAAGCTTCTTCTCCCTTCATCTTTCTCCTTCATTAATATTTCTGCTCGGTGCTGCGGCAGGAGTCAAACAGCAAACCTGCGCCGGGCTCTACAGAGGATGTTTCGTGCCTCCGCTCGCTAACAAGCTTTCCAGGCGTCTGTAAAATACATTTTCGATTCAATTAGGGTTTAATGGGAAGTGCCTGATGTGTCAAAGCCTCCTTGGAGACGCGGCTGAAGGAGCAGCGGGGAGAGCCCCGGCCCGGCTGTGCCGTCCCCTTTGCGGGGCGCGATCGAATCGCGGAATGATTTGGTGGGATTAGGGATGATTGCGGGCTCTGATGAGGTCTCAGCTCCTCGCCCGTAGCTCGTCCTGCGAATAAATCCCCCGTTTCGCTTCCTTCAGCCCCTCTAACGCAGCAGAAAGCCCCCCCGTCGGCGCTTAAAATCGAGTTAGTGGGGTGGGATTGGGGAGTTGAGGGAGGCTTCGAAGAGGTCTCCCTAATAATTAAATTTAATATATGGTGCCGGGGTGAAATCAGGTGGGGTGGATGTGCACAGGGCTGCTTTACACACACAGGGAATGCAGAAAGAGCTCAAAAATAGTGAATTTTGCCTTGAGAAATAGGCTTGTACCGGTGTGCGGGTTACAGGATCACAGAATCAATGTCAGGGTTTGGAAGGGACGTTGAAAGATCATCCAGTCCAACCCCCCTGCCAGAGCAGGGTCACCCAGGACAGGGTTAGATTCTTATTCTGGTGACAGCTGGCAATGCTCGCTACCAAAAAATCATCATGTTTTGCAATGTTTTCCTGGTGCCTTTTTCACGGTTTCTTTCCACCCCCAGATGAACGCGGTTCTCCACTCCAACATCCAAGAAGGCATCAGACACTATTACGACGACCTCGACTTCAAGAACATCTTGGATTTTGTACAGAAAAAGGTTTGGTTTCGAAGGAGGGCTGGCATCGGGGAAGTCCGGTCTAGAAGGTTTTTTTTAAGAAGCGATTCGTTCTCTGCCTCGTTGAAGCAGAAACGTTAGTATTGTTAGAGTTTATTCCCATCCCTGGAGCTGCGTCCACTCCAATATTGTGGAAAAAAACCGCAAAAACTTGAGATCTAGCAGAGAAACCATGCTGGTTGGTTTTGGAGAGCAGAGCTGGGCTTTGTCGGCAAAGCTGCTTTCAGACAAGCTTTGAATATCATAGAATGGCCTGGGTTGGAAGGGAATCACAGAATCATCCAGGTTGGAAAAGCCCCTTGGGATCATCAAGTCCAACCATTAACCCTACTTGCAAGTTCACCCCTAGACCATATCACGCAACACCACATCCAAGAGACCTCAGAGATCATTTAATCCAACCTCCTTGTCATGGGCACCACCTCTCAACTAGACCAGGCAACACATGGGGACCGAGCGGGAATCGAACCCGCGACATCGGTGTTGTTGTTGCTGTCAGCACCGCGCTCAACCCACTGAGCTAACCGGTTTCTCTCCTTTCACGATGGGCTGGAGCATCATAAATAGGCGAATCTTATCTCTCACTTTGAAGAAAAGCAAACTGTGAAGCTCCTTTTTTGATCTAGGTGGAACCGAAGGCTGGCGGTGCCCTCGGCGCTCCCCGCTCGTGCCTTAAACACCGGCTTTTGACTCTCGGAGTTGTCGTTCCTGAGCCAAGTGCATGAATGAGACCGGGAGCCCTCTGAAGGGCCGCGAGACACGAATGATTCTGAGAAAGATCTTTTAATCAAGTTCGACTCCAGCCTCTCGAAAGGGACACTCTAACCTCTCGCTAGGAATGATAAAGGGATGCCGCGGGCAAGTCCACGTCGGAGGCGGCCTCGGTGGGGAGGCTGCGCCGCGAATCTCGAGGTGAAAGAGCTGGACTCGCGGGAAGGCTTCTGTCTCTCCGAGCAAGCAAGGATCAGGCGCTTTTCGCATCATCCCCCCCCATTTTTACATTTTTCCCCTTTATTTCTTCGCTTGATTTAATATTAAAATTTGTCAGGGGGAGATCTTCTCCTCCGGACTAAGAGAAATTCTAGTGTTGCCGGCAGGGCTTGAACACCCGCACATTTTATTTCGCAGTGAGAGAAGGAGTTTGCCAGAACGTGCACCTCCTTGCCGTGAGCTTTTCTATATTAACGCTGGATTTCCAAACCGGGAACGGCTGAAGTGCCAAGTCGCTTCGTCCTGAGGGGAGGAGCGGCGAGAAGCCACGTGGAGGGAAGGGCTGCTTTTAAGAGAAGAGAAATTGGTTTTACAGGACCTGAGCAACCTGGTTTGTTTCAGGGAGGATAAAAACTCGCCGTCAGTCTGGAAGGATTGCACCCAGACCTGGGTTTTTTTTGGTGAAACACAAGCCTCAGAGCAGCCTCTTATCGTCATTCAGGGGTTATTCTTGCCCGTTTCCTTATTAAAAACCTTGGCTACGCATAGATCAACTGGCACACGTGCTCCTTAGGGTTTGAATTTTGCTTAACGCCTCTCTCCAGTGAGGCTTTAAACTGCCTTCGCGCCCTTAAACCAGTATCATACTGTAAAAATAACAAGTTATTACAGTCTGAAGTGCCAGACATTAATATTTTACGTTAGTTTTACCTGCCGACGCCTCCCCAGTCTGGCTGCCTGTGAGCAAAGAGATATGGAAATAAATCACCCGGAAGAAAATAGCACTTAGATGTTTTTATCGCTCGTTTTTGCCCAACTACTGCCCTTCGCAGCCCTTGGACGCGAGGCTGGAGACCACGACGGCTCACAAGCCCGGGTTTGCCACGAGTCGCTCGCCGCTTGGTCTGGTTTAACGCTTTGCTGAGGACGGGGGGAAGGGGAGAGTTCAAGCCTCTGGGCTGAGCACGGGATTGGGATTTCAAAGAGCTGCCGGGGCTGCAGTTCTTGCTCAAACCCAAGTGGCTCCAGACTCAAAGCAAGGCTCGGAGGGGTCGAGGGCACTTGCGAGCCTCCTCCCTTCTTCTTGAGTAAAGGCAGCTTTCGCCGGCACGCCCTTTTTGGAGCACGGTGCTTCGAGGGTGATGGTTTTTAGCCGTAACCATCCCACGTCTTGCGGGCGGCAGCGGCGGTCCTCAGCATGGAGGGCTCCTCCGATGCGACCTGTGAGCTTCTCGGCATGAGCCCTCTTTGGTTTTTCCTGCTTCTCCGAGCTACAGGAGCCTGCACAAAAGTAAAACCCACACCAGAGTCAGGCTCAGCCTAGGAGCAAGAAATCCAGGAGCGACAGAAGTTTGGGAGAAACCTCTCCTTGCCAGGAAGCAGACCCCACGGTGAGGGTTACTCGTTGTGAGCACTTTGTGCCAATTTTCGTACCGTTAGAAAAGCAAACGGAACAAAACATCTTTGCAGCGTGGGGATATCAGACGGGGAGCGATAACCGATCCCCCTTGAGGTGTTTTTTCTCCCCCTCTTTCTAGGCAACATTGAAGAACTGGTCTCCCTCCTACTGCCTTCGCACTCTTCAAACCAGTATCATACGTATATATTCATGTATATAATATATATATATGTATAAATAGCAAGTAATTACAGTCTGGAGTGGTAGAATCGAGAGAGGAATCAAAGGTAGGAAGTTAGAAACTAGCAGTAAAGCTGTGAGTTGGCTGTTCCTGGCTGGATCTGCCCAATATGACGTGGGAGGAGGCCACCACCCCGTGAGCTGGCGGCTCTTCCCGCTCCCGTTGGCCAAGTTGGCCACCACACGCCTTGGGGCCACCAGCAGGAGGGGGAGCAGATGCTCAGAGGGTTAAACTTCTCCTGCAAACAGCTCCTTTGGAGAGTTTGGTGCTTAAACACGTGGGGAAAACCTGGTGGTTTTTTTTCTATCTTAGCACATGCAGCTCTCCTGCCCGCTTCAGGCTTCTCTTTCCGAGGGGAAAAATGTAAAGATTTGAGCTTGTTTACCGAGATGGGATGACTCGGTACATAATAAGCCCACTTTTATTCTGCAGAGAACAGAAAATGACTTTCATTAAGCTATGGTTGTGGGTTTTTTCCATTGTGTGAAGAGAAGAAAAAAAGAAGCTCCTTCCCTTTGTAGCTGTAGCATTTGATCTCTAATTTAACTTGACGGGAAGAGAAATCCCTGTTAGACGGCGGAGCCTCATTAGCATTTTGTCGAATGGCACCAACTAGCCGAGCTGCCTTCAACAGCAAAGAAAGACATTCATTCAGGGCGCTGAAAGAGCGATCTCTCCTGTGTGCCCGGGGAATAGGCTGGATTAGTCACCTGTAATTAAATCCCTGAGGCATGAATGATCTTTCCTGGGCGTTGGTGAAAGAAAGGAAGCGTCCGATACACGCGTGTGTGCATGTGGGACAGCAGCACGCCTTTAAAATGGGGCTAGACAGGGTTAAAATGCCACTTTTTTATTTTTTTTTTTTAACCTGCTGTCTTCAACTTTGTATTTAGGATCCTGGAAAGCAGAAAGCAGTCGGGGGGCTCTTGGGCTGTTGGAGGGGAGATGCGTCGGCGATGATGTCGAGGTTTGTTCCGTCGCACGTCTCACCCTCTCCTTTTCTTCTTTTTGCAGTTTTCGTGCTGCGGCGGCGATGAGTACCGCGACTGGGAGGTTAACCATTACCACTCCTGCAACGGCAGCGGGCCGCTGGCCTGCGGGGTGCCCTACACGTGCTGCGTCAGGAGGGTAAGGCAGCCGAGGCGGGGGAAAGTGCTTTTATTTCAGTCGATATTTCAGCAGAACCCTCTTCCTGCAGGTCACTGCTGCAGATTTCTGCCCCGTAGGGTTTCTGGTAAACCGCGGCGCCGTCTTGCAAAGCGGTTTGAGGAGGCATCGCCGTGAGACGCTGAAGAAAATGAAAAATAGATCTATGGGCTACACTGTGTTTTAGTAAGCTGGGCTGCTTTAATATAAGACAGATAAAGCACTGGACTGTTCTTTGTGTTCGTATCACGGCGAGGAATTTCTAGAAATGCTGAGTTCCTGTTTTCCAACCTGTCGTGTGATGTAAAATGGTTTTGCACAGAAATAGCAGCATCTTAAAAGGATTTGGCCGCATCTCAGCGCAGATCCAGGAGTTCTGCTCTCCTGTCCAAGGTTCTCAGCCACTCGCTGCGGGGTTTAGCGGCATGCGGGCTAGAAATGCTGAGTTCCTGTTTTCCAACCTGTCGTGTGATGTAAAATGGTTTTGCACAGAAATAGCAGCATCTTAAAAGGATTTGGCTGCATCTCAGCGCAGATCCAGGTGTGCTGCTCTCTGCTCTCCTGTCCAAGGGGATGCAGTTCTCAGCCGCTCGCTGTGGGGTTTAGCAGCATGCGGGGATCGTGTTTGATGGTGTCTGCTCCTAACGAGGAAGTTTTTGAGGGTTTTTGAGGGAAACGGGGCCAAGAAAAGCATTTTGAGCAAGAGCCACCCTTGTGCAGCGGAATAAGAGAAGTCTTGTGAGCGACCGCCCTTGCGAGTCGACGTTTCCCACGTGCCACGAGTTGGGGAGAGGGGAGGTGGGTTTTGCAGAGCCGGTGGGGTCTCCTGTGCTGATTTTCAGAGCTGAAAATCAAGGCAGAGCCCGCCTCCCCGCCGAGCTTTTCTGCTGAGGCTGAGCTGAGTGCTCTGACACCATCTCCTTTAATACAACCGCCCGCTCGCCACGATCAATCTGATGCACGCTGGGGATAAAATGTCAGGAGCTGGGCCAAGGCAGGGAGGGGAAAAGTGCAAAAATTCCTGGTTGCTCTGGCCAGAAATGCTATAATCATTCGTTAAAAAAAAAAAAAGGATTTGCTAAGCATAATCCTGGTAGCAAAACCTCCTCGAGGCTCAGAGTATCGGGGTATCGACGTTGCCTCTGAACCCTGGCCGTGCCCCAGGCTTTACTGATTGTGCCAATGTATCTTTGGTCTCATATTGTTGGGGAAAAAAAGAGGGGAATTGGAGGTGGTTTAATTACCAGTGGAAGTCTGACATGCAAATCAGCTGCAGAAATAATTGTCATCTCCAATCAGGGCGCTGATTAAGAATCCTAAAGCTCCTGCAGATGGAATTAGAAATTCACGTGTCATCTTTTTGTATTAAAGTGAGGATCCGTTGGAGAAAGTCAAGTGTGTTTCTTCAGCGTTTTTTTTACACTCCCCACGGGTTTGGGTGACAACCTGACAAACAAAAGACTTTGCAGCGTTAGAGAGACGAGAAATGGCAGGTGATTACTGAAGAAATAAGGGAACTTTTTGGCTTCCCATTGCAATGAGCTGGGTCTGGAGGATGCTCTAGTGAAGGGCTGGAGCAGCCGGCTCCTGGGAGGGAAAATCCTCAGTAAATCCTTTATGGTTTTTTTTGAGAATTGAAGACCATGAATGAGGTTGTGACAGCTGGAGCGGTTTTATGGTGAATGAGACCTCACCGAACGTATCTAAATCTCCATGAGAAATGAAATTTGGTGACCAGCAGAAGAAGGGAGGTGATTGTCCCTCTGTGCTCAGCACTGGTGAGGCCGCACCTTGAGTGTTGTGTTCAGGTTTGGGCACCTCAGTACAGGAGAGATCTCGAGGTGTTGGAGCGAGTGCAGAGGAGGGTAACAAAGCTGGTGAAGGGCTGGAGAACAGACCTTGTGAGGAGCGACTGAGGGAGCTGGGTCTGTTCAGTTTGACCAAGAGGAGGCTGAGGGGGGATCTCATCCTGCTCTACAATTACTTGAAAGGACGTTGTAGAGAGGTTGGTGCTGGTCTCTTCTCACAGGGAATTAGGGACAGAAC